TTGTCTGCTTGGATCTGATGTCATGCCTGTTCTCCAGCCTCCGGGGCTTTAATGTCTGGGACTTTAATGGCAGCGTCTTGTCAGCAGCCGACCGGCTGGAGCCAACCTCGCCCTCTGGGCATGGACTGGTGTTCAAGACCAGGGTCCTACCTTAGACTCCCTCGCTGTCCACTGCATTTTTGATACACTTAAAAAAACGTTTTTGAGAAATCTGTCTGCTTCAAAAACTGGGTCCTTATGTCGTGAGCCTTGACAACGATTAACAATACTTCAGTACATTACCATTACCTTATAAATAAAAAAAATATTGAGCACCAACTGGTTTCCTATTTTAGACATTTGGAAGAAAAGAAAGCCAGAATTAAGAAGAATAATAACAAATAACTACATAAATCATGTCATATATAAACTAAAGGCTATAACAGTATACTGTATCTTAAATAAACCAGCGAGGAATATCAAAATTGGAAAGAAAAAAAGTGATTCCATATAACCAGAAGGCCGCTCGTTTAAACCCCACCTCTGGCCTTTCATTATCATTGCGTCCTTGGTCAAGACACTACACCAATATTGCCTACTCATAGTGGACAGAGGGCCCAGCATGGAAGCCCAAGGGCAACTTTGGCAACAATGAAGCTGTGCATTAATTAATGGTTAAATGACCAAATATAATGTAAAGAGCTTTGGTGTCCACTAACTTAAAATAGCACAGTATAAGTATATTGTAACCCACTTCCTGTAGCAGTCTGATAGTCGCACGCCCGACGTGTAGAGATTGCTCAATGGATGCTACAGCCAATGCTGCTCCTAGCTGCTCCTCACTATTCGTTTGTTTTTGGAAAAACCGCCTTGACACTACACCACTGGTCAATTAATTTGTGGTTACCTTCACCGTCGATCGCTTTAGCTTCTTTTCAACTCGGCAGGTTTGCCCCCTTCTGTTGGCTCATGCTTTTTTTTGATTGCTTATGTATATGTGTTGCGCAATACATTTGTGATTGAACTGTTGAAATACCTTGGTTTTCTTTTTGTTAACCCATGATTTCATCCTTGAATTATAAGGGCACTTTATTTTACCTTACTTGTGATTTTTGGAAATAGAAATCTTGTAAATTTAAACTACTTGTATCTTAATGCTGTGATTTATGACATGTCTAACTATGACTTATTTAATTTTTTTAAGTATGATTTGTTTATTGCTAAGGTTAAATTTATTGTTTATTATTTTACTAATTTAAGATTCTGGCCTGATTTCAGGTCAGGGTTTTTTTGTTGTGCTGTTTCTTCGACTGTCCATTAGGTGGCGAGCTACCAGAGAACCACTGCTACAGTGTGGTACAAAGAATGTTTTGTTCAAGCCCAGATCCTCTGAATTTGGTTTCCCAATGGACCTCATGAACTGAAAACCTGTAACAAACTGAACTGAAGTTTTTTTTTTTTTGGTCTCTTTTATTTTCTTTGAATTACTCTGTTGGGATATACTGTTTCCTTTCTCCATTAAAATGACATTGATTATTTATATTTTTCCCCCTTTGTGTTATATATAAATGATAAATATATATATATATATTATATAATATAGCTTATTAATCAACAGATCAGCTGTAGAGGTGGTCAGCAGCACCAAATTCCTGGGGGTACACATCACAGACACCCTCACCTGGAATGTAAACACCACTTCCCTGGAGAAAAGGACACAGAAGTGCTTGGACTTCCTGCCCCCGCCCATCCTCGCAAACAACTACAGAAGCACCATAGAGAGCCTCCGGGGCTTTAATGTCTGGGACTTTAAAGCTGAGGATTATTGGGGCTCCTCTTCCCTCCATTAAAGAATTTTCATCTCAGCGATGCGTGTCCCAAGCCCGTAACATCATCAATGACCCCTCACCCCCCCACCATGCACTGTTCTCCCTGCTGTCCTCCTGAAAGAGCCTTTGCAGCATTCGATGCAGGTCTAGCAGATTCTGCAGCAGCTTTTTCCCCACTGCCATAAGACTGTTGAACTGTTAAAACTCAAATCAAGTCTCAAATCAAAACTCATCACTCTGTAAACATAGGCCGTNATTATAAGATCAGGTCTTCTGCAGATTCCTTCTTTAGAAATACCAGGGAGGAGTATGAAGCAGTTGCTGCAAGCTCAGAAGATTAAACTGCCAGAGAACGTTTAGCTCTAACTTATGTTAAGTTAAAACTCACAACAACCCTAAAAGGTGTATTTATTTAGGAAACTATGCAATAATTCAGATAAATTATGATGCTTAAAAGACATTATCTTCACACTGAATAGTGAGCAAGTGTAAAAAAAGTGGTGGAGAAATGTGTATTCTGTAGAAAACAGCAAAGAACTGAAAACATCTGTGTGGAAGTGGAGCTGGCAGGAACATTGGTAAGAAGGGTTTCAATTTCTGGTTTCTTTAATCCAACTAATGAGCTAAAAAAGAGTGGTTGGAAGCGATCGGTATCCTTAAATGTTTGTCATGATCTTGGCCCTGATGACTTGCTTGATTACTCATTTCATTCATTTGCCCACTTTTCTCATTACTGCTCATCTGTTCCACCTTCTCCAGCCTCTATTTAACCTGTCTACTTCCAGTTAGCAGAGCAAGATTAGTGTTTTCTGATTTCCTGATTCTGACCCTCTGATTCTGATTCTGTCTCCGGACCTCTGAGCCTGCCTGTTTCCATTCTGATCTGTTTGCCTGACCTGTCTTCAGACTCCTGCTGGATTCTGCCCGTTTACCGATCCTGTTACTGATTCCTGACNTTTCAAGATGGTTAAACATAAATACTGCTCTCTGCATCATCGTCTGCCATTGTTGTAGTTTTTCTTGCCGCTTCTGTGTAGCAAGACGCAGAATAGTGACCTTTGTCAGGTATTAATGGCGTTCAGGTCGGATGGATGCGACCTGGCTGTTTACAAACCGGTTGCATTTGAACAGATCAGATTCTTATCGGATCCAGGACCACATAGCCAAGTGGCCTGGGTCACATTGGATAAAATCAGATCTGTGTTGTTCAGACAGCCATGAAAAGATCAGATCCAGGTCGCATATGGGCCAGAAAAATCGGATTTGGGTCACTTGGTGTGGGCTGTGGCTGTGGTGTGAACGTAGCCAAAATGTCCATCTCCCCTTATTATCCTTAATTAGATGCACCTGTTTTAGGTTGTTAGCTGCATAAAGACTCCTGTCCATCCAATACAATCAGTAAGAATCCAACTACTAACATGGCCAAGACCAAAGAGCTTTTCAAAGACACTAGACACAAAATTGTATACCTGTGTTTATTGGAACATGCCTGTTTTTATTAAACCAATTTGCACTGTGTAGCACTTTGAGATTTTTCTTAATGAAAAGTGCGGTACAAAATTGGATTTATTATTATTATTAAACCAATTTAGACAGCCGAGTAATAATCCAATAGTCAACACTCTCTTCCTATGAACATTCCTATGATTTGCCTTTGCAATATCCAATATAAAGTTTAACCTGAAGTCATATAGAAAGGGTGATGATCAATTAAGCAATTAAGCCCACTTACCTGTGTGATATTCTGTATCCGGAACAGACGGATAATAACGTCCTCATCTGCAGTCCTGGACAAAAACTCCACAGTCACAGACCCGAACTGCTGTATTCCAGGCTCAGGCCAATATTGAAGACAAGGCTAGGAAAAGAGAGGCCAGCAAAATAAGACAGCAAGTCATTAGCCCACAAATCAAAATGCTATGTCGGTGTCAGGTGACAATAAGGTCAGAAAGACCCCTGGATATTGACAACAGATACAATTAGCCTAAATAACAATTATCCACAAACTGAAAGCTTAAAATGAAAAAAAAAAGCCTTCCTGATGGCAACAAATATTAACTTTTGTGTTCCAGTCATAACATTAATGTTATAAATTCATGTAGAAAGAGGCTTTGGCTTTACCCAGAAGATGCAAAAAAATAAGCTAACTAAAACGCTGGATATACTGAAAGCTTAGCTCCCTGTCATCCCATCATTAAAAAATTACATCTCATCCCAAAAATGGGACAGCAGCAGTAGTGCTGAAACTCTGACATGTTCTGCATTGACTTTTTGAAGTCAGAAGCAATAAGTTAAAGAAGGGTACTGACAGGTAAATTGAGCAAGAAGAGATAAATATTAATTCAATCTGAAAAACTCACACAAAAATAAAAGACATTAGGAGAAATTTATTATATAATGTTTTTAATAGAGGCATATGAACACTCTCTATCTGTTCTGGTTTTAGATGCTGCACATATTCGCTTTGCTTTATAGAATACATCAGTGTTTTGTTTTTTATTGTCTTAGTAACTTTTCATAATCTATCCAAGTCAAATGTGGAATTTATTTATTTATTTGTGTGTAGCACAGAAACAGAAGTGAAAAGAAGTGAAAAGAAATCCGCGCAGATCCGCCCAGCCTGCCTAGTGGAAGCCTCTCTATAAGCAGTCAGTGTGACATGGAAAAAAAATCGGATCGGAGATTAAAAAGTCGAGCGCAACAGGTGTGTTCAAGCCTTAAGAGTGCAGATTCTGTGAGGGAATTAGACGTTGACATTTGCCTATATAACCTATATCAGGCATTCCCAAAGTCTGTCCTCAAGGGCTGCTGTCCTGCAGGTTTTAGAGGTTTCCCTGCTTTAGCACAGCTGATTATTATGATTGCAGTTGAGCAAAAGCCTGTTAATCAGCTTTCAATTAAAATCAACTGTGCTGGAGCAGAGACAGCGGCCCTCGAGGACCGACTTTGGGGATGCCTGACCTATATAACTTTCCTATGGGTTTTCCTACCTGACACTGTTAAAGTAAAAATTGTACCTTGATAAATTGTGTTTCTGTGCACGACCTGTTTAGATAACGAATACAGTTAAGAAGAAAAGCTTTACTGTTGGTACAAAAAAAAAAAAAAACACTTGAAAAAACACAAGAAAAACTGTTAATAAATGGATACACAAACTAGAAAAAATGATTTAAGGTTCATGGTGTATCTCACCCATGCAGAATTGGATTGGTTCAGCATCACTACAGAGGTACAGTCGTAGTCATATATGAGCCTCCAGAAGTCAGTGGTGGTGTTAGGCAGCGGATGCGGCATCACCACAAAGGCAGCAGGCTGGAGGAAGCTGTTGGCGAGCACTGCATTGATACGGTTGCTGCTCTCACCCTCTGTGGCCAGAGAGCGATCTGGAGGCAGAATGTCCATACTCTGGTTCTTCTCTCTATTCGTTGGCATCAAAGAGATGCTGCCCTCTACATCCAGGTGAGGGGTGACAGAGTTCAGAGTCTACACAGAAAAGATGGAGGAAGAGTTGCAAAAAACGAGTTAAAGATAATCAAGGTAGATAGATATAAGTTTAGTTTATTGTTTAGTTATATGAATTTAATTCAAAATAGAGTTTTGATCAAACAAGGAAATTAAATCTTTTTATAACTCTTTACAATTTTTTTTTAATTTGAATTTACAATACAGAATTTTTAATCTGCGCTATAATGTATTAAACATATTCTACGTAAAATTGAAGAGCAAAAATAATCCCTAAGAAAAACTGACTGTAGAAATTCACATATTAAAATCAGCTGCAAAAATTCGACAGCAGCAATTAATCTAAATTACATTCAGATGCCAAAATTTGAGTGCAAAAAACCAAATAAGCCAATTTAAATGTTATAAAGTATAAAAAGCATGAGAAAAAAAAAAACATTTAAACTTAGTCTCCTCTTTAAAATGGCTCTTTTTGAATGGCTGATAACTGTTACCTGAAATTCCTCTTTCAGTTGTGATGTGTTGCTCTGAGAATCAACTTTCAGCATTTCTTTGTAGGTCAGAGCAAACTCTGACACAGGGATGGAGGTTTCCCCACAAAGACAAGCCTCAAGGATGGCATCATGGATGAACACGTACTGCTCCTACAGGACGTACAGTACAGCATTTAGAGACTCACTGAAGCACACAGACACCTCATCACAGGCAGGCCAAGTGTTCTGAACAATGCAGAGTTCAGTTACTGCTGCTGAACGCTGAACAGCTGTAGAAGGAATAAGTTCCTCACATACTGTAGCTGTGCCAATGCAAAAGCAGAGTACTGTCAAAAACAAAGAAAGACACTAATGGCTTGTTTATTCAACAGTAGGTGGATAGGAAAGGGGGGAGAGACATGCAGCAAATGACTGCAGGTCGGAAATGAACCGGGGTCGGCTGCATCGAGGACCAAGGCCTCAGTGCATGTGGCGCACGCTAACCACTGCCCACCGAAGCACAATTATATGGATTTCTGGACATTTCTTTTTTCTCACTAAGTCTAGTAGCCTGCTTTAAGCAATGTAAGGTGACCTTTTTTTCTTCAGCAAAGTTTAAAATAGCACAGGCATCTGTGCGTTTATATAGTTAAATAAAAGACTGGTTAAAAAAACAAAAAACATGCACGATGTTACTGATTGCAGTACTGAGGAAGACATGTGGTTACATTTCCATTTTAAAGAGAACGTGGCAATAATTCTGTGTAAACAGAGACAACAATTTATGTACTTAAGAGTGACTGGCTCAGCCATCACAGGTCATTTACCAAATGAACAACAAACCTCCAAACAGCTTAAACTTTGTATACTTTCAATGTCAAGGAGTTTTCTCTGAAAACGAAGGGTTGTCGGTTCAAGCCCCAGCTTCGGCTTTCAACGCCGTTGCGTCCTTGGGCAAGACATTTCACCCACATTGCCTACTGAGGGTGGTCAGAGTCTACGGCAGCTTTGCTTCTGTCGGTGAGCTCCAGTTCAGCATTGGCTACAATGTAGCTCACCACCATGATTGTGTGAGTGAATGGTTAAATGGCTGAATGTTGTGGAAAACACTTTGGTCAAGTTTTCTAACTTGGAAAAAACTCTATTTAAGTTCAGGTCATTTACCATATGCAGGTTTTATGGTCTATCATTACTTTCCATCTGCTGATCCGGTGAATAACCAGTAAACAAAAGATTTTTATCAAACATTGCCAACTAGAGGTGTGAGAAAACAAAAAATCCATCAAATAAAATGTTATCAACCTCTTAGCAGGCTACTTGAGTAGCCTTGTTATCAAATACTTTTCTTCTCGAGCTTAAGTAAATTCTTGAATGGCTACTTTTTACTCTTGTTTGTGTAAAAATATATTGAAGAGAGGTGCTTATTTTATGTCGGTACAACTTTTGGAGACTCTATCCACCTGTTTGGCTGAATGCTCTTTTAAAAGTTTTTCACAAGCATAAAGATAATTAACAAGATAATTAACATTGCGACATAACAAATCAAAAGCAATTAATAATGGCAGGATAATAAAGCAACATAAAAATGCAGCTTTTAATTTATTCATCCTGTAAATTTAATACATTCAACACAAATGTAGGAGATGCTGCCTTCTATAAATGTAACATGATTTCCAAAAAACCTAAGTATCATTATATGATAATTATTACATTTGTGGGAAAGTATATAACTTCCTGCAAATACAAATATTGATCGCTGATTGCCTACTGATACCCCTCCTGTTCTGCTCCAATCAGGCAGCTTTGCTCTGATCCTCGCAGATGTTTGTTTGGTTTGTTATGGACATAAAAAGTTGAATTACATTAAAAGCTGCATCTTTTGTTACGTTTGCAAGCATTAGAGGCTTCAGAGTATGCTTTGAAGATAAAACCTGTCAGCATGCATATCAGCATTCCCACTCACTTCATTCTGGATCATGTTTATATGACGGGAGCAAAGGGTCTTAACGCAGTTGTAGATGTCCACAACTCCTTCACATTCGGCCATATCCAGCATGACATCCAGCACAATGTAGCAACCTGTCCTACCTGCCCCCGTACTGTTGCAGGGAAAAAGAGAGAGGAATGGACAAGCATAAGCAAATGCACTACAGTAAACTCATAGGAATCTTTTAAACTTTACAATAAAATAAAAAACAAAACAAAAAAACTCAAGAAAAGTCTAACTATTTCACACGTTTACACAATTAATGCAGAGAATAAAGGCAATCTTAATTTTTTTCTAAAATTTTTGTAATACATTTAGAAATAAAATCTATAATGCATACCATTTTACCAATTTTTATGCATAAATAAACAATCCTATTTACTTAGAACGCCTTGGAAGTAGCTTTGGACTATTCAATGTTTTTATGTTGTGTGGAACTTCAGTGTTATTCCTTTTTGATTTTTCATTTAATTATGATTTACAACCATGAAAACATACACACATACGTAAATAGATAAGTTACATATTTGTAGAAATCCGAAGTGTAAAACATATGTTGGTAAACTTTTTCATCAATTGTAAATACAAAAAACACATAGTCGCTCAATCAAGCCTTCATAGCAGTAGAAAGTATTATTGTCAATAAAATAACAGACAAACTAAATGGGAATTAAAACAAATAAGCTCAATGGCTTCTGTAAAGTGGGCATCTGGCAACTTTTAATCTCCCAAAACCTTCAGCCATTCCATATATTAGCATCTTATTATGATGGTCAGGATAACTAACTAGTTTAGTATCCGTTACCACCTACCTCTACAATGTTTTTATGTTCCTTGATTCTTCTGTTTTAGTAATCAGAGCTTGTGCACCTGATGCTGAAGTCTTCATCCTAATTTCCCATTCAAACTGTCAGATCCCTCGCTCTTTGAAATATCTGACTGTTCTGCTGCATCTTTCGGAACACATTACTAAAGGGTAGCTAATTTCAGTGACAGATAGCGGGCCATTGTGTTCTTTAATGGATGTGTAATTTGTAGTGGTGGTGAGTGAGGCCTCATGAGGCATTGCAACATTTGCTTCAGCAAAGGGATCATTTCTCGGAGTAGTAATAACTGTTCTCTTTTGATTATCAAGTGTGTATAATAAAAAAGGGCAACTTGGACAACGCACAGTGTTTGATGAACAGATCTTTGGAGAAGACAAATCCATACTCCTTTTTTATTGTCCTTGGTGACTTAAACAAGAAAAGCCTGAGCTTAAACAATAAGAGGCAGAAACTAGTGATGGGTCCAGCAACACTGATGCTCTAACAACTAAACACTGTTTGTGCGCATGTTGTTTCAAGAAAGTCACATGACCGATACAGGAGCTGTTTCGGACTGACTGACACACTAAACTGAGTTTATAAGCGCATCTGACGACGCAACAAATCTACAAAAAAATAAATTCTGATCTTTTGCGGTTTATCATCAAATTTATCAAGAAAAATGGGTCAGCCTTGAGCCAGAAAAGAAAGGTTTTAGCCGAGCGGGAGCATTCTGATCTCATAATTGATTCACAGTTCTTGTTGTTGTTGTGTCATCCTGTTGTGTCTTCCACATCGGTTCAAATTTATGGATTTTCTAAAAAATCCATCTTAAAAATATAAAATATATTTTTAATTTAAACGGAAATATGAAATTATACATTAAATATAATTTTTATTATCATAGGTCATGAAATCCGTGTCAGTTAGGCCGGTCAGAGTCTGCAGAGTCTGTAATGTTCTTAAATGTGCAGCAGGTGTCAGTATTCAGTAGCACAGTATCGCAGTATGAATACAGCTTTCCAAACGCTTCCCGACGCCTCATGAACCCATCACTAGCAGAAACCAAACTGTTGGAATGGACCATGTATCCCCATTCTCTCTCAAATACTGTTCTAATCAGCTTTCTCTGGTGTTCCCAGACATTTTAACACCCAGCTGGATGTATCAGTGGGCAGTTTGCCTCAAAGCCTTTGCTATACTGTAATCCCTGTCCTGAAAACAGCCTCCAAGAAATTCAGAGTCATTGTCTGGATGCTCGAGAGTCTGTCCCTGCTTCTCAGAACACCACAAGCTTCACATAGGAGTGGATAAAAGTGTTTCATATCTAAACTAGGTCTCCTTTGTCTTTAAATTAAACTGTGTAATATTGACTAACAAGAAAATGTATTTAATGTGTATGAACAAACATGTGTAATAAGGTTGTAACAGTTTTATAACAAAGATTCCTCAGTCAGTAAAATTGCAATGGATGATGTATTGGCACAGGTGACTCTTCTGCAACACCTGCTCACACGGCTAAAAACCCAATAGGATAAACACTCTTGTTTACTTGACACAATTTAAAACTTCATCTGGTGGGAATAGATTCCTATTTTCACATTCTTCTATTATGAGACATACTAGTTTTAATTTTTATTCATTTGTTTAACAGAATGCACAAAATCAAACAGCCTGGAAACTGGGGAGGGATTTTTCTTTTGTTTTTTGGAAAGTGCACAGATGCACTGAAGAGAATTTTCCTTTTCTATTTGTTTTGTTTATTTTGTATTTGTTGTGTTAAAGTCCAATCCATAACACATGGACCAGCCTCTAAACATATTTTAAAAACGATTAAAAAAAACAGACGGTCTCTGGTTCTATTTATTTGTAAAAGAGAAAAAAAACAGCTAAGCTCTGGTTCGGATCAGTTTTTTCTTTTTGTCTCAAGTTTAAGTTGATAAATCACTGCTATGGGGTGCAGTCACTGCAGTGGCACTGGCAACTGGAGCTAGTTTGTGTGTAATGCCAAAAACAACAAAAGATGTTATCGGCTGTGTATCAACCCACAGTCTGAAACAAGAAAAAAAATAAGCACTTTTAAGACAACCAGGTCTACCGTTGTGATTCGATAGATTTGATCAATTGCCCCTCCTTAATGTTCAATAAAAGTATTAAAACAGAAGACATGGGAGGAACACCTTTTTTTAAGGTCCACACCTGCGTGAAGATAGGCCTACCTGCAGTGGACGACAACAGGTCCGGCATCGGGGGGGGTTGAGGCTTTAACTTGACGGAGGAAAGCCAACAAGCCAGTGGCATTATGGGGCACGCCATGCTCAGGCCAGGAAGTAAAGTGGAACTGGCACACCTCATGTTTGGCAGGGTAACCTCTCTTGAAAAATTTAATGGTTTTTATACAGTTAGTGGTGTTTATAGTTAAAAAAAAAACAGAAATATTAACAGGACGCTGCATGACATTCAACCACAAAGGACACAAAGGAGCTCCTCAAAGGAGGAAGAGATTATAGGAGTATTTTAATTAGCAGTGATGAAAGCATAACTTACCCTCTCCATGGCGAAGGTGCGGACCGTATACTCTGCCAGGGTTTCTGTCTTCAATAGTGTTACTTTAATGTCACCATACATTTCCATGTCATCGGGCCAGTATTTACAGCATTTCATCTGGACACAAATTATTTAAATATTGCTAAGCAATCTACAAAAACTACTTACAGTATCAAAAAAATGCAGGCTTCATTGTACCTAATCAAACCCTGATATCCACCCAAAAGTCTGAGTGAAACACATTTAACAAAAAAATCTAAGATGTTTGTCAGATTTATACTTTGAAAATACCCCCATCGTTATAATTTCAAGAAGGAAAAATTATCTTTTTTATGTTTTTCAAGTTTAAAGGAATAGTACACCCAAAACATGATTAGCCTTCATTTTCTACTCACCCCCATGCTGAACAACACTCTGGAGTACTTTTTTGATATCTCA